ATCGCGCTGCGTAAACATAAAACCATGTCTGCATTTGTGATCGGAGAAACGGAGAAACATTGTAGGCTACTCTCCAAGGAAACTAGGGGTGCAACAGTTCTCGGTAAAAAAGAACGTGAGCAAATATTAAGCTCTCTGTGAAGTATTGTGTTTGAATGGACAAATTCACTCAAAAATGATGTCAAAATGCCTGTCTTGGTTAGTATCCTAGTAGACATAGTCGGCTGAACGTACAATATTCTTATTTTCTTTATTTTTATTTGACAATATAGTTTTTTCCCTAAGCATAGCACATACCGAACCGTACCGAAACCGTGACTGGCGGCGGCAGCAACAATACTACAGCGAGAATCAAAGTTACGCCTTCTTTCTTTGCGTGAACATTTGGACAGCGTTATGCAAATCTTTCCACATCGTGACATAGACATGTGGGGGCGTGTTAGAACGAGCCGTTTTAGGTAGGCGTGGTTGACTCTTAACTTTTATAAAAAATCTCTCTTTGGATTTGAGACTTTAGTCTTTGCAACTTTACAGATTTTCTTTACGCACCAAGAGCTTGTAACACTCCAAAGAGAAAGGAAAAATTGAAATCACATCATATGACCCTTTTAATCAAAATCATCTCCTCCATTCATTTCTGTTCTCTTTGTACCAGGTGGGCATGTTTAAGATCCATCCAGAGATCCCAGAGTCTCTTTCGTCAGAGGCCAAATCCTTCATTCTTGCATGCTTTGAGCCTGACCCGAATAAACGAGCAACGGGCGGGGACCTGCTCAAGGATCCATTCCTGCGTCAAAACATTAAAGGCAAAAAGAACAAGATCGCTTTCAAACCTTCAGGTAATGTCTCTGACCAAGTCTAACATGCTTTCTGCAGCTGTGATAATAATGAGACCTGGGTTGACCCTTCTGGTCACATCCATGGTGTGTAAGGCATTTTAGGCCTTGTGAGAGCACACAGAACATTTTTTGCAGGCAAACACTCAGAGCTGCCAAACCCCCCCCCTCCCAAACCCATAGCCCAGCATGCCTGCATCTCGCCGCTGTCTGGGATACTCGCAACAGGTCCAAACTGCCCTCAGCTGGCCGGTTACAGTCCAGATTGAACTTACACAAGAGATGAGTAGGAACAACAGGACCTGGGAAAATCAACAATAAGACCTACACTACCGTCACAAATGGTTTCCATCCAGCCGCACATGTCAGCTATCCCGCTGTCCATGAAAAGCATTCTCAGGGTGTGGTGTTTCACACAAACATGCACTCTGCTTTCTCAGAAAACTTTCACGATTTCTCTTTGACATTGTCAGAGGAATGTTAGTGAGTGACAAGCTCTGGTCCAATTTTTAGTGAGCTGCTTACTGCTATCCAAACTGATTGATTTGAAAAACTCTCTACATAGTGAGCAACCTAAATAGCTTTTTACACAGAATCGTACAATAGTTTGATGTTAGCGTGTTGCTAAGCTAATGGCTTGACATTCTAGTAAGCGTAAAAATATACAACCCACACAGATATTTGGTGACATTTTTTATGTATTTGGTTAAACTTTTTAATGACACTGACCTATTTTTATTATTTTTGTTTTCAAATTAAATAGAAGTTATATGTTTGCATTTCCATTTAAAAGTTTGGGGCCAGTAAGGTTTTTTAATGTTTCTGAAAGACGTCTCTGATGCTCACCAAGGCTAAAAATGCAGTAAAAACTGTAATATTGTGAATTTAAAATAACCTTTTTTTATTACATTTTTTTATTTTTTTATTTAATGTATTCCTGTGATGCAAAGCTGAATTTTCAGCATCATTACTCCAGTTTTCAGTGTCACATGATCCTTCTGAAATCATTCTAATATGCTGATTTGCTGCGCAAGAAATGTAATATTGAAACAGTTGTGCTGCCAAATATTTTTGTGAATGCAGTGATAAAACTTTTTACAGGATTATTTGATGAATAGAAAGTCTAAAAGAACAGCATTTGTTTGAAATATAAATCTTTTGTAACATTTTAAATGCATTTACGGTCACTTTAGATTAATTTAATGCATTTTTGCTGAATAAAAGTATTAATTTCTTTTTTTTTAAATCTTACTGACCCTAAACTTTTGAACAGTAGTTTATAATCAACATTCAAGTCTCCTTTTAGGTTCAGATATAATTTGGAACAGCGTTTGTATCTGGAAATACACATGTGATGCCTCCAGAGACAACTCACTAGGATTTGGAGCAAAGAAATAGCTTTATAGGCCTGGTGTATTCCCAGTTTTGTTCATTAGACATTATAGTACAGGCTAAATATTAATAAATCAATATCTCCTTCTTCCTTAATGCCATCCAATCGGCTGCTTTGGCTTGGATTCTCTGTGTAACAGTGTGGCAAGGTTTGTATCCACCATCTATGTATCCTTGTGTGTTCTTGAGGATCATAATCTCATAATCATTGGTGTCTTGCTGGTTACTGGTGATGGTGCTGAGTGTGTGCTCCTTGTGTGCTCTCATTGGTTCTTTGTGTCATATCTTTTTCTTCATTCTCTTGATTTTTGATTTGCCTTCTCTTCTCTGTGGTTTACTATTAATTTGGTTCCAGTGTTTTAACTAACTGTGGAAGCTTTTTGGAAGAGTTAAAAAATCTGTAACATTGTGGGTAACACTTTACAATAAGGTTCCATTAGTTAATGTTAGTTGAACAATACATTTGTTTCAGTATTTATTCATCTTTGATAACATTATTTAATAAAACTGTTCATTGCTAGTTCCTGTTAGCTCAGGTCCATTATATGAACAAATACAACTTTTGATTTTAATAATGTATTCTTAAATGTTGAAATTAACATTAATTTAGATTAATTAATGCTTTAAAAGCATTTTTCATTGTTAGTTCATATTCACTGTTGTAGCTGACAAATAATAACAAATCGAATCTTATTGTAAAATGTTACCATATTGTGCTATTATATATTGTGATAGAAATATTTACCCCCGGTTTCACAGACAAGGCCTAAGCCTAGTCCCAGACTAAAATGTAAACCTGAGCTGTGTCAACTGAAAGAAACTTGCACTGACTGATCTTAAAATATATCAGTGCCTTTGTTTTGGCTCAAGATGCACACCAGTAATGTGTTTTCTAAGGCACGTTTATGAAAAATTACTTAAATGTCTTAATTGAACTATGGCCTAATCCTGGTTTAGTCTAAGCCCTGTCGGTGAAACCAGGCCATAGTATATTAAATTAACCCCTTAGCATTCCTGTAAAAATTGCCTAAAACGCGTAAAACACGCAGTGTACTGTGGGTGGTACAGTGGAATGCTAGCAGGTTAAATTAAATTGGGGCTGTCAATTAAAAGGTTTTATTGTTTTAATTAATCCACTTAATTTATCTCATATAACAATATTATCTGATTTAAAAACCCTAATGAAAAAATATTTAAGACATTTATTTATTGTTTCTCACTGAACAGGCATTACAAAATGTGACTTTAGAAGTGAATATATTGTTGGTTTTATTTCCATATCATTCTATTTTTGGCCTATAGGAGGCATGATTTACTGTTCTTTTTTTATAATTAATAACAGAAAATGAACATTTGCATTGGCAGCCCTAATATAATGTTTAATTCTAAAAAATAAAATGTGTAAAATTAATTAAAAATATAACACTTGACTTTTATAAAAAATAAATAAATAAAAAAAAGATATTTCGTGTTCATATTTTTTCAAAGATTTAAACTTCAGGGGGGAAATAAAAGCCAAAAATGCTGTGAAACTTTAGTCTGTCTGAATGATTGTCTTTAAGTGCATATGTGTGTGTAAACACATGACCATGTGTGTTTGTGTTTTCCTCATTTTAGACTACATCCGCAGTGTTTCATTACCAGTACAGCTGCAGATGGAGGCCGCAGGGAGCAGCAGCAGTGAACCAGGCTCTGTGTCTCCCGACTGTGACTCCAAACAAGACGTGTTCTTTGAGAAGAAAAAACGCTCTAGCTCAGAGAACCTCATCAAACCACCCAACTCAAACTTCCTCAGGTGAGCTCAGAAGATGAGCACTAAGGTGAATACAGAGCCCTCATCGAGACTAACAAGGGTCCGCTAACCGGTCCAGACGAGTTTAGGTCACGCAGTGGTCAGCCATAGCTGAACGTGTGTATATGTATGTGCTTATGTGAGCGTTGGATTAGCATCTGGAATGTTAATGACGTGACTGTGTTTACGGAGCTTAAGAATCCGTGGCCGCTTCAGCTCTCAGACCAACAGTAAATCAACTTCCTGGGCATGAAGCGCTGAGGCCTGTCCTGACAGCTAGTCGACTCCTTGGAAACGCTGTTTAATTAACGCGGTGGAATGAGGAGACAGGTGTGCTGGGCCGTGATTTCTGGGCAGGTGTATGTACGTGTGTGTAATGAGATAATGCCTTTTACAGCAGGTACTCTCTGGTTGCTCATAAAATAATCCCATGAAGACTTTACAGACCACTTCTTGACCTCGGTTTCAACGCACACACACCAAATCACAGGGCTGTCACACATTAACCACGTTTCCTCTTTCCTCAAATGAAATCATGTTTTTTAATCACCACTCCAGATTTATTCACTCCTTTCATTTAATATTTGTTTTGTTTTGTTTTTGGTTTTGGTTTGTTTTGTAAAATCCAATCAGAGATTGTGATTTTTTTTTGTTGATAGTGCTGCCTTAAAAAAAAATATATATATAAAAAGGTACATGATACAGTGATGGCATCAGATGATAAAACATGGTACTGAATGACTACTATATTGTATCTGCAGATTTCTACATCAAATAAATGATATTTTTTTAAAATTTGTTCATCAAATAATCCTGAAAAATAACAGCACAACCGTTTTCAACATTGATAAGAAATGTTTCTTGAGCAGCAAATCAGCATATTAGAATTATTTCTGAAGTAACGATGATGAAAATTGATCTTTGCCATCACGGGAATAAATTACATTTTTAAATAATAATATTTAATATATTTATGTATTTATTATATTATTATTTTATATATATATATTTACTATTATTTAATTATATTACTATTTATTTAATTTTATATTTAGAAGTTATATATTAACAGTTATTTTAAATTGTAATGATATTTCACACTATTACTCTTTTTTACTGTATTATTGATTAAATAAATGCCGCCTTGGTGAACATAAGAGACATCTTTCCGAAACATTGAAAAAGTCCTAACGACTCCAAACTTTTGAACAATATTGTATTGTACATAATGTTACATCTGCATGAAGCTATTAAGATTCATATTTTCTTAGTGAATCAGTGTGAAATGTGTGTGATTCAGTGTTCCAGATGAGAGTCCTACAGCAGAAGACCGCAGCTCTCCGGCCTCCTCTGAGAACAGCGACTCTGGCCTCTTCCTGCTGAAGAAAGACAGTGAAAGACGTGCCATACTCTACAAGGTCCTCAATGAGGACCAGGATAAGGTGACGTCCAACCTCATGGAGAACCACATCCAGGTGTGTATCCCTGCGTATCTGATTGTGTGTGTTAGTGGTGTATGGACTGAATCATACAATGAGGATTGTGTCCTTGTCTTTTAGGGTCAGGAGGAGCTGAAGTTGTCAGTGGACCACATTAAACAGATCATCTGCATCTTACGGGACTTTATACGTTGCCCTGAGCGACGTGTCATGGCAATGACTATCTCAAAACTCAAGCTGGACCTGGACTTCGACAGCACATCAATCAACCAGATCCAGCTGGTTCTGTTTGGTTTCCAGGACTCTGTGAGTTGACTGCAGTATACAGTATACAATCTCAGTTTCCTACCCAGGCATGATCCACTATTGATAAAATCCTATTTATGCTGCAATATACATTTTTAAAACCTTAAATACCGATGTTGGACATACAGTACCATTAGTAAGTTTGAGATCAGGAAGATTTTTTTTTTTTAAATAAATGAATACTTTTATTCAGCAAGCACGCAGTAAAGACATTTATAATGTTATAAAAAATTCTTTTTCAAATAAATGCTCCTGTGTTTGGTTTGAGAGTGATGAGATTAAAATTCCTCTTTCATCACTGTTTGTTTCAGGTAAACAAAGTGTTGAGGAACCACCACATTAAACCACACTGGATGTTTGCCATGGACAACATCATCAGACGGGCTGTACAGGCAGCTATTACGATTTTAATTCCAGGTGTGAGTGTGTGTGTGTGTGTGTGTGTGTGTGTGTGAGAGAGAGAGGGAAGGAAAAATAGAAACCAGAGGACTTGTTGTTCTGAGGAACATCAAAGAAAGTGTGTGACTCATTTTGCATCTGTCTCTCTTCTAGAGCTACAGACGCATTTCGGGCCTGCATCGGAAAGTGAGGGTGCAGATAAGGACGCAGATGAAGAGGATGATGGGGACTTTGGATCAGTGGCACGTACGACCCAGGAAGATCAAGCCCTCACGTCTGGAGTCAGCACCCTCAGTTCAGTCATATCCCATGAGGCTCAGCGGCCACAGCACCCGCTGGGAGCCCAGCTTGGACGCCTCAAACAGGAAACCAGCAGGTACACACTATGATTCCTAAAAAAAAAACACTTACCATCATTCTATTTAAGGCAGTTAAATATAAACAGTACACAAAATACGCTTTTGCCACCCCCTCCAATGGTGAGTGAATGGAAAAAAATACTCAAAATATTAGCTAAAAATACTAAATATTTGTTCCCAGTCATGGATCTGTGTTTCACATTATTTACTACAAATATACATGACAGTTCAATATTTTCAAGAATATTTGATAAATAAAAAGTACAAAAGAACAGCATTTACTTTAAACAGAAATGTCTTTGTCACTTTTGATGACACTTGACACTTTTCTGAATAATACAGTAAATTAATACTTAATTTCTCAAAATAAACTTACTGAACTGTAGTGTGTATTTTACTTGTTTTACTTTGTATTTTTGTGGAAAACAGCACAGGTCATTGTTGCTCTTTGCACATTATATACAAGATAAAACAGCCTCCAGTTTTAATTTTAGATTCTGAATGTAGAGCTTAATAGTTTTATGATGTTTTGTCTTTTCTTGTTGGATTTAGTCAGTGAAATGAGATCTTAATGCTTCAGTAGTTTGAGGGAGAGTGTTTCAATGTTATGTCGCCCTCTTCAGGCTGCTTGAAGAACTGGTACAGAAGGAGAGAGAATATCAGCAGGTACTGAGACAAACTCTACAACAGCGGGTACACGACATTGAGCTTATCAGGATCAGACAACAGCCTTCTGCAGGTTAGTTGTGCAACTAAATCACACACATTTATTGATTTAGACTCACTTATAAGCCATTCACTCTGTCTTTATTTACACTGAAATCACATGCATGTCTGTATGCTAAGGTAATAGAGAAAGTGTCAACTCACCTCTTTCTGATTTCCAGTGTCCTGTTCTGACCTTTAGAGTTGTTTGCAACCAGTTTATAGGACAAAAAAAATACAAGTTCTGTTAAAAGAAAACTAGTGAGCTGCCGTAATGTCTGCTACCTACCTACCAACTTTCGAAATGACAGAACCCAATAAGTGACTAATTTCAAATGCGAATGTGAGTCTTGAAATGCTGTCTAGATAGATCTTAGCATCTGTGCTTTAATATTCCTACATCCGTCCTTTGCCCTCAACAGAGATGCCCTCAACCCCCTCTATATTTCACATTGCCGCACATCCCGAGCCTGACAAGAAGCTCACTGATTGGCTGAAGGAGCAGGGTGCCGACTCTGACACCATAGACAAGGTGAAACATATCACACTGAACGCTGTCTATATCGTGTCTTTCCCACGATTAGAAAATGACTCACTTTTTTAAATTTCCATAAATAAAGAAACTGAAGATTCATGCCAAGTTATTGTGGTTTCTGTCTGTGTCTGACAAGTTTGTTGAAGAAGATTTTACGCTCAACGACGTTCTTTGCGATGTTACAAAAGAAGACCTGCGCTGCCTGAGGCTTAGGTGAGGGTTTAATTTGTAAATGTCCAAGTGAGTGATTGATTGTGTATACTCTTCCTTTGCATAATGTGGCCCTAATTTTTTTGCCAGGTGAGCCACTTGAAATTGAATAAATACAATATAATAATATTAAATAAATAACTGGACCTATTATTATTGTTTTCTATAATAATATTAAATATAATAAATAACTGGAACCATTTTGAATAAATGAAATTATATATAATATTTATAATATTATTTGTAATATAAAATATTTCTACTATTTATATACACTACAGTTAAAAAAATTTGGTGTGTTTTTGAAAGAAGTCAAAGTTATACTCACTAAGACTGCATTTATTTGATGAAAAATACAGTAAAAACAGTAATATTATGGAAAATTATTACAATTCAAAGGAACTTTCTATTTTAATGTTTTTTTTAAAGCAGACATTACTCCAGTCTTCAGTGTCACATGATGCAAAACATTTCTTTTTAACATTTTATCAATGTTGAAAACTGTTGTGCTTAAATTTGTGACCTTTTTTTCAGGATTCTTTAATGAATAGAAAGTTTAAAGGAACAACATTTATTTGAAGTCTTTAGTAACATTATATGTTTTTACTCTGACTTTTGATCAGTTTAATGCACCCTTGCTGAATAAAAGTTTTCATTTCTTTCAAAAAAAATCTTACTGACCACAAACCTTTGAATGTTTTTTTTTTTCATTTATTTATTTAAATCTAATCTATTGTAAAATATATTTATAATAAAGGATATTTCAACTTTATATAGACTTATATTGACTTTATATACATTTTATATTCATCATTTATATATGTAAACTACAAAAAAAAAAATGGGCCAAGCCAAATACTGTAGATAAAGTAATTTAGTGCTGGACAGCTTTTCCCTTTGTTTTCTTTAAATGTTTAAGCTGTGTGGGTAAACCTGCACACTAATTTTTACAGGAAGATGAGTCAGTGTTGTTCCACTCAATATTGATGGCTTCAGACTGTTCACGAGTAGCTGAAAAATATTCTCTCAGTTAGTTGGGGTTTAATGAGAGACCAAAAATTCTTTATGGGGTTCAAATCTGGACTCTGACCAGGCCAAAACATGAGCCTGATGGACTTGTTCTCAAGCCACTTCTTGGTTGTCTTTGCAGTGTAGGCAGGAGCATTTTTTCTTGTTGAAAAATAACATCTGATCATTCCTCTTTAGACTAGTTTTCAATTGTGGGAAGCACATTCTTCAGTATTCTTTCATACTCCAAAGCATTACTTGACTTTTCACAGTGAAGCAGCTCACGAGTACCAGCAGCTGAAAAGGCTCCCCACATCATACCACATCTTCCTCCATGCTTCACTGTGGTAGAAATGCATTCATCTTTGTTCTGTCTTTGATGCTTTTCTGAGACCGCAATGGCTTTTTAAGGAATGCATGTGCCAAATTCTTGCAAGTAATTTGTGGTTAAGTCCATTTGAAGCTTAGAGTTTAGCCATTTTCCGGTTTGGCCCATTTTTTTTGGCCCAGAAGTGCACACCTGTAGTTATTCTGCTAGCTTAAGTTGTCTGCAATTAATAAAAAATATTTAATTTATTTCCCACTATAGGGGAGGAGCGCTGTGTCGTATCTGGAAAGCCATTCAGAGACACCGTAATAAAGCGCTTAAAATGACGAGGGAAATTCAGAAGGATGAAAGCAGCGAGAGGTTGCTGTTGACTGACACCTGAGCCAGCATTATAATACATTCACACAAACATCCCTATAATGAGAGACCCTTACTGGCCCAAACCTTGTAATTATGTCATGCTCTGCCCCAGTTGGACAGCTATGACCTAATGTTTTTGTGCTATTTTTAGTATAGGTTTTCAGCCTCTCCATCTCATTTCCATTCGATTTCAATAGGAAAAGCAATGAGGATGTAAACGGCTCTATCTAGGAAAGACTGCACTTTCCGATTTTTTACACTGCCAGGACAAGAGGGGTCATGTGACCCTCTCCAAGTGACTTGGGAATGGGCCTAGGATGGCAGAGCAAAACAGTGTTACCTACTTAACGTAGGACTTCAGATCATGCCATTTTAAATGAGAGAAAATCTATGTTTATATTTGTTTTAGCTTAACAAGTCTGGAAAATGTATTATTCAAAAATAAAACATTATGTATGTTTTTTTTTTTTTTTTGAGGAACTGTATGT